GTTAACGAAGCAAGTATATCAACAGTCTTGTTCGAAGTCATCATTCGCAAGTACAATTGCCCATACATTTTTATTATCAGCAAATATGTACCATCTATCAAAAAGTCGAATGCTGACTTCTGTTTTACATACTCATAGTCAGGCCATTTACACACTGGATGGCCTATGCATCTTTGCTTGATCGTGATTAGCAGCATACTGTGGGTGTTTTCTCCCCAGAGGCTCCTGATCCCACCTAAGATGTTTTAAAAGATGCGTAATTGCCCTGCTCAAGATTTTTATTGCGTTTTTAAACTTGCAATTGGTGAGACAAAAAGGATTCTTTACTGCTCAAAGCCCTTCGGTGAAGAGTACTATGATGGAAGTGAAAATGAGTGACAAAATCGCGATGGGATGTTGAACAAATAAGCCAAATAATACTCCTCCCCCCCCCCCAAAATAATAATAAAACAAAGCAATAATTTGAGCATATGCTAGTATTTTACACCGAATTTCGGAATTCTTGCGTCGAAAACATTCATGTGTCCATTTAAGGAAAAACTGGCTAAGGGGGAAATACAACTCTACGATATAGGTATACTGAAGATGTATATCCTGTTTAAAGATTTGAAGTCAATATTTTCTCTATAATATTACGACTTATATATTTTAATAGCATTTCACACAAAAATTAATTAAAAATCTTATTTTATCTAAAAGTTATTAAAACTTCAAATTTTTTGGCATGTTTTATTGACACATCCTTGCACTTTCACAAATTTTAACCTTATTCTTAATTCTTAGGAAAATTGGCAATCTTGTTGTGTATTAATGAGAAATATTAAAACTTTTATCCAGAAAAAATAATTTTATTCAGAGTAGAAATATTAGAAAGCAAAACTCCTTCACAAGTATCGTTATTCCGATCTAAGAGTGCGTACAGAGTTTAGCAAATCGAGCACACTCGTGTTATGTACACAGTTTTGTAAACAGGGCACGAGTTCTGTTATTGTTTATGTTTAGAATTCACCGGGGAAGTTCAATCGTCACAGTCTGCTTACCACAACTGCACGGACTGACAAAATATTGTGTGTTTGTTTTGCTTTCGAACATGTCTACTCTGAATTTTCTGCATTATAGTTTTAATATTTTTCATTTATACAAAAACGAGATTGCCACTTTTCCTAAGGATTAAGAATAAAATTAATTTGTGAAAGTGCAAGGATGTGTCAATCAAGCCCGCCAAAAATTTTTTAGCATTGATATCTTTTATATGAAATAAGATTTTTAATTAATTTTTGTGTGAAATGCTCTTAAAATATATAAGTCGTAATATTATAGAGAAAAAAATAACTTCAAATCTGTGTCCAAGTACCTATAAATGCTTGTAATCGCAATATATAAAGAGAAATAACTCTTGAAATGCCAACAAACTTGAACATGTTTGTCGCTCTTTGTAGCAAAAAAATAAAATTTCTATAAATTATGATATGTGTCCACATTAAATTGGCTGAAAACAAAGCATAAAACAATTCAACACGAATTAGATGTGCAATTATCATTTGTCGGTTTTGAATATTGTTTTGTATTCCAAACAACCAAAATGATTTTTCATTACAATATCTAAATTGGATTCCAAAACTTCGTAAAAAAATCCTTACAATAAAAGATACATAGCGGTTCCAGCAAACGTTCTATCAAGCCTCTTTCTTTACTCCTCACTTAGATATTAACAGTAATCAAGGGGGAACTTCAAGAGTACTGTGCAACAATATTCTCAAGAAGTGGTGTAAATCAGATGTGGATACTTAAAAATTCCAAGGAACTTTTGGACTGTATGAAGTCACAAGATCTTACCAAAATCAACAGCTTAAAAACTTGCGACTTTTCTACTTTATATACAACTATTTCCCACGATAGACTAAAGTCAAGGCTTTCTGACATCATTGACAGCTTGTTCTTCTTCTTCTTCTTCTTTTTTTTTTTTTTTTTTTTTAATTTTTTTTTTATAAAAATGGAACTCGTAAATTTACCTACCTTGTCATTGGTCATTTGCAAAACTGCTTTGTTAAAAGACAATCTGATTGTAAACACAAGTACTCTGGAGTTGATATTAAAAAGATTTTAGTTTCTGATTGACAAAATCTATGTGGTTTTTGGAGACCAATTCTTCGAACAATCTTTTGGAATTTACATCACTTCTAGAATATGTTGTTGCACGGTACGTCTGAAGTTTCTTCTTAACAGCAATACGATTTTTAAAGGAGTAAGGATAGCTACTTAGTAGAACAATCGCTTGACCATACAATGTATCTCTGTTTGTAAGGATTTTGAAGAAGTTTAAAAATCCAGTCTTAGTAGAGTAGATCGAACTTACCTTGGTGGACTGGAATGTTAAAAGTTTGAAATGATGAAATGTGATTTTGAAGAATATTTCCTCTAGAAATTAAACTGCGAGTATAAGTTGGATTTTTAGAAGTAGAATAAAAACCAAGTTCTTCCAAAACACAGTCATAATAATGAGCCTTGAAAACAAAGACAATATTATTACATGCCTTGACTTTTGGAACCATTACAAATTGTTAATGTTGTCTTTCTTACTTTTGGATCAACTAAAATTTAGTGAAAATGGAAGAATAGATGGTTCGCATTTTACCTTTTAAAATTTCTTATACTCGTACGATTTTTATAAATATATTTCTAAAACATTTAATCTAGTCTGACAGAATGTTTAGATTTTCTTCTTCATATTTTGCCCAACGTCTGGCGTAATCATAATAGAAAAGAATTTAAGTTTTGTCGCCAATCGAAAGGTTGGAAAAATGTTATTGTCGAGGTTACTCCATTGCAGTGATTCAAATTGTCGGTCCACAGGTCTTGGGGTGCTATTGGGGGACAAGACTGTTAATGTTGATAATGCTTGTTCTACTTAAGAACTTAAGTTGTTGCTGTAGCATTCGTGGACGAGAAGTCACCAAACCTCTTTATACACAGAAAAAAATTAAAATGTCTTTCTTCAGAACAAATGTTAATTCAAGAAACCATGTTACATGTACTGTTGAATGCATTTTCATCTATAGAGATACAATGGCAAATGAATTTCGACTGCATCTAAGATACTTTAGATAGACTGCACCTAAAATACTTAAGAGATACGATTGTTGCTGGACTACAATTGAAATTGATGTTACTGAATTTCTAAATGCTTTTCCATGAATTCTAGAATGCAGATTCAAGTCAGACCTATATACATGTACGTATGTACAAATGTCCTAGCGCTCGAGAAGGCTAGCATAACTGAAATGATATTTTTTCTAACTTCTTAAGAATGAAACGTATGGGGATGACGAACAGTATTCAAGATACACATTGGAGATAACGAACAGTATTCAAGATCAGAGGTCCACAAAACAATACAAAATAGGAGCAGAGCAAATATGGGCCTCCAAAACATCAGAGGTGGGATCAGGTGCCATGGAGGAGTAAGCATCCCCTGCCGACCGGTCACAGCCACGGTGCGCTCCTTGCAATTGTCATGATTGGGAAAATACGGAAAAATCTGTCGTCAATTCAGTGTTTAAATCATGGCCTAAATATTTGTATGAAAAACGTCCATCAGCATTTGACTCGATGATAAATTGTATTTGCTGACAAGGTCATTGTATCGACCATAAAACGTACGAAATGATGACTATAAACAAGACTGCTGATGTTCTTGTTTCAGCAACTTGTTTGTCAGTAATTAACCTCGTTTTTGAAATTCAGACATAGAGCATGCTCTTGTGTATCGAATCAGCTGAGATAATTATATACGCTACGTATGCAGGTGATGAAGGTATATTGCTGCATACGTAAGGGAAGTTGATGATAGAAAAGTTAAAGTCATCATGTTTTTCATTTAGCTTGGTTGTTAGATTACCATTAACGTCTTTTTCAAGTAAAATATCTAAATATGAAACAAATGTGTCAGACTATGTAGTATCTTTTTATCTCAAGCTCACCAGGATATCTCGTTTCGACATAAGAATGAAAATTACCACTGTTAATTGACAATACGTCGTCGATGTATCTAAATGTCGAATTGAAGGACACAGCAAGTGTTTTCTTCTTTTCACGCAAAAGATTTAGCACAAATTCTGCTTCATATGAATATAAAAATGGGTCTGATAACAGGGCGCAATTGGTACCCATGGGAATTCCAATAGATTGCTGGAAGACATAGTCTCCAAAAACCACATAGATATTGTCACCAATTACAAGGTAAGTAAATTTACGAGTTCTATTTTTATTAAAAAAGCAGCCGTCAATGATATAAAAAAGCCTGGTCTTTAATTTATTTTGGGTAATGGTTGTGTATAAAGTTGAAAAGTCGTATATTTTAAAAGCTGTTGAGTTTGATAAAATTTTGTGATTTCAAATAGTCCAAAATTTCCTTGGAATTTTTAAGTATCCACATCTGATTTAGACCTTCTTGAATATACTGTTGCACAGTACTCTTGAATTTTCTCCTTCACTACTGTTAATATCTTAGTGAGGAGTAAAGAAAGAGGTTTGGTTGAACATATACTGGAACCCGTTATGAATCTTTGTTTGTAAGGATTCTTATGAAGTTATGGATTGCAATATACCGGTATGTATATTGTAGTTCAAATTCATTTTGGTACATCGGGATATTAAAAATATTCAAAACCGACATATGATTTTGAAGAATTTCTTCCTTAAAGGGGAACTATGAGTATAAGTTGGATTATCACTTCTAGAATATAATTTATATAATGAGCCTTACAAACAAAGACAATGTTGCTACCTGTTTTGTCAGCAGAATAAATTCAACCAGTTTGGAAATAAATATACGTTTCCTCTTTCTTTGAGTGATTTTAGTTATTTTCTATAGAATTAGTTAAATCTAAAAATATTCGTTTTCTTTCTATATCATATACGTATCTATTATATAAAGAATCATTCCTGCAATATGGGTGGAAAAAGATAATACATGTGTGTCATGAATAATAAATATTTTATTGCCATAACAATTAATGATGCCATATTTATGTGAACAAAATCTTTTCTTTTACTGTTTTGCTAATACCATACAAAAGACCTAGATATTGTGTAAAATAAATATGATTAAAAACAAAAAGTATATAATAGCAATGTTTCTGCACTGACAAATTAACTTTTTATTCAGTGCTTAAAAAATTTTTGACAAGACTGTTGTACATTAACCGTTTTATCTGTATTTTGAAAATATGCAAAAAAATTTTTTTTCTAAAGGTTCATCAACTTAAAAAAATCACGAACCTTTGATTTTTCTATTCCATGCAGTGTTGAGTAATTTCTCACTTTTTTCCAAAATGTATGAAAAGGTGCCTTAAGCGTAAAATTTCTATAGTCAAATAAATATTTCTTTGAAAATAAAGTCGAATCAGTGTGCAATATCTTTCAGTAAACACAATGTGTTTTTAAAAAACAAGTGTTTTTGCAATAAACATAAAAATGACTTCATAAAAATCACAGATATCTTTTTGTCAATGTTCTTTCAAATCACTCTTGTCGTGTCTTTCTCCATCTGACCAACTTCTGATTTTTGAACCGCTTGTTAACAACTTTGGCAAGGTGGTATTATTCCAATTAAATATGTCAAGACTGGGAAAAAAGACGTTTATATGTACCCTCTTTCAATGTCTGCCATTAATTCTTCTTCTGAAATATCATACTTTGGGACGCTTCTGTAAAATAGAAAAATATTTGATTAGTCTGGAACACGAAATGTCTTCCAATATTATGATCATTTTGAAATTATGAAATGTCGGAGAAAACTTGCAGTCAGAAGTCTAGCATAAATAACTTAAATGTTAAATGATGATTAGGTGGAAAAAATTTCCCTCTCAGCCATAATATTTAAGCCATGTGTATACCTTTGAGTTACAATTTGACAATGGTATTTTACCTGTCGTATTTCTAAACTTACTTTTGTTTCTGATAAGTTGGAGTTCGGTACAAATCATCTGCATTTTCCGATTGACGTGTATTCCTAGTATAATCTGAAAACAAAAAAAGAAGAGATTCCATAAATATGTCCTTTACTTAGTCATTAACGTTATTGTGCCTTTTTAATTATCAATCACTTTTTCTCGGGAGTTATTTAAATATTATGTTTTACAATCTAATAATATTAATCTAAACCTACAGAAGGAGTCAAAAAGGGACCAAAAAAGACCATAAATTTATATATATAAAAAAATTATTCACTATATGCAAAAATTAATCCGTAAAAAATTAAACTTCGTCAAGATAGTTTAGAAATAAAATTTTCTGCTTGCCTCTCTTTGATACAAAGAGGGAAGCTTAAATATTAGTCTTAACAATAATGCTCACTATAGAAGAGATGCGCAGGTCACAAAAATTTATTATTGATAAATCGAAAGACCTTGGATCTAGGGGTTGTAAACAGTTTCTTGGTATGCCGATTTATACATCAGAATGTCGTATTGTGTGTGCCTATTCGTCAGAGACGATTCCCAGTGGGAAAAATGCATTATTGTCCAAAATCTGATTAAAGACTTTGTCAAAACTTACTCGAGTAAAGTTATCTTTTTAATAGGGTACAATTCTTGAAGGACGAAGTGGAATTGTTTTCCACAGCGTTAAATATACCATGGTATTGCACTCATTAAACTTATCTAGTACGGTGTGAAGAAGGCTTGTTTGAAGAATAAATCAATTTTTTTTTTACAAGTGATTGAAAAAACTCGTTGTTTGTCGATTTTTTTTTTTGCTTCTGAGCAATTGCGTCTTGGCAGGAACTCTAATAAATAGGCCTACCTATTAATTGGTTACTTCGCTTCAATAAAGTTCCAGACCTTGTTTGGTTATGACCAAAATACATTATACAATTATGGACTCTTTTGGTGTTGAATATGGTTTGTTATTCACCAGAAAAATATTCATATTGACCGAGGCGAAGCCGAGGTCAATATGGATATTTTTCTGGTGAATAACAAACCATATTCAACACCAAAAGAGTCCACAATTGTTTTATTATATAGTCGGGATTTGAATAGATAAGACATTGAAGGCTGTATGACGACACCATTTTCATTTGCGATCTTCCATTGTTGAAATTTAAAAAAATCTCCAGATTACTGTTTGTAACCTCCGTGTTTTCATTTCCGAGTTTCGCTATGTGTAAGACGTCCAAATGTTAAAAAATAATCCTGAAATAGGTTTGAATAATTGTTTTCCAGCTCAGATACGTAGCTCGCTGCGGCCGTTGCAACCATTGTTTACAACGTTGTTAGATGTTTTGATTGTGACGTCACAATGCCGTTGCACGCGCATTGACCCTCCGGTGAATACGGCCTAAAATCCGGTGAATATGTACTACAGTGTTATGAACTGTTTGCGTTTGTATAGATTAGATAGGGACTATAAATAGACTATATAATAAATAATAACATGGCATGTTCAACGTTGCAATATTCGATCTTTTCCATCTGTATAGAATATTCACATTAATATTCTTTATAATCTATTTGAATTGTATAATTTTTAATTTGTTTTGTATGAAATACATGGAAATAACGCAAAGTATTCAAGCTCAAAGGTTCATTAAAAATACAAAATTGGAGCAGAGCAAATATGGACCTCCAAAACATCAGAGGTTAGATCAAGTTCGACGGAGGGGTAAGAATCCCCTGCCAATCGGTCATACCCACCGTGTGCTCCTTATAATGATCGCGAAATAACAGAAAATTCGTTGACAGTTCAGTGTATATATACATGAAAATCCTAACAATTAGTTTGAAAAACGTCAGTCAGCATTTAACGTCATTATAAATTGTATTTGCTGACAAGGTCTTTGAATCGACAATAGGAGTTACAAAATGATAACTTTAAACAAGATTGCTGATGTTCTTGTTTCAGCAACTTGTTTGTCAATAATTTATCTCGTTTAAGACATTGTTCATACGTAGAGCATGCTCTCCGTATCGAATTAACTGAGATATATAAACTTCGTATGCAGGTTATGAAGGTACATGTATATTGCTGCATAAGTAAAGGAAGTTGACGATTGAAAAATTAGTCATCACGTTTATCATTAAGCTTGGTTGTTAGATTACAATGAACGCTTTTTTCACGTAAAATGTTCAAATATGAAACAGATTTGTCCGACTATAATTTTCTATTTGTATTGTAAATTTTGTATGAAAAATTGTAGTATTATACAAGGAAATATATGGAAATAACGAACAGGAATCAAGGTCAGAAGTTCAATGAAACAATACAAATCGAGAGCAGAGCAATTAAACCCGGGGCCTCTGAAAACATCAGAGGAAGATCAGGTGTCATGGAGGAACAAGTATCCCCGGTACACCGCAATCTGCTCGTTGTCATGATCAGGCAAAAGGAAAAATCAAAGACAATTCAGTGTGTAAATAATGACCTGCCAATTAGTATGGCAAACGTCAGTAAGCAGCCGACCTTATGACAGACTGTACATATTGGATGACTAAGTCTTTGTATCGACCATCAAACTTGCGAAATTATGACTTTAAACAAAACTATTGAAATTGTCGATATCCTTCTTTTATCAACTTTTTTAATAGCTTGTCTCGATTTACAAATTGTTCTTACATAGGGCATTCTCTTGAAAATTGAATCAACTGGGAGACAATATTCAAGGATTGAATTCATATTTTGGGATGTCTTCGGTCCTATAACTACGAAAGCCCAGAAGGCTCATTCGAGATTCAAGTTTCGAAATACGAGATTCAAAATTCGAGATTCGAGATTCGAGTTTCGAGATTCAAGATCCAGATTAACCAATCAAAAGGCTCATTCGAGATTCGAGGTTCGAAATACCAGATTCGAAATTCGAGTTTCGAGATTCAAAATCCAGATTAACCAATCAAATGCGGGTTCAACATTTGATTACTCCCCTTTATTATGTTTTATCTATCAATAAATCGTTTAATATATTTATAACAAATGAGTCATTTGATTAAATTACAATGCAAGAAAGAGTGTTATATATATTAGAAGGAAAGTTAAATAATCATTGGATTTTTTATCAACAAGATATACTTCAATTTATATTATGACTTCTTAAATATTAAATAGAATACATATATCAGGAATATATATATTTTTTTGCATTGTCTACTTTATATAAAGGGTTGTTGACATAATAATAAATTTATAAATAGTGACTAAAGATTAACAAAATCCTCACCCCTACCCGCCACACCTGCCAATTTTTCCCGACACTGGAAATGTTACTTTAAAAACTTGAAAGGCAATATAGCCTTGATAATTAAAAACCGTGTTCGTTTTCCTAATAGAGGGAATACTCAGTACATAAAAATAAAGTTTTCAATTACTTATCTTCATCTAAGGCTTTGATTTCTTGAATTAATTGTTAATTATATATATACAATACAGATTGCAAATATGAATAGGAATAAATGCAGCATTCATTTTATCTGATATCAAACAGTAGATTAGTCTAAATTAGCTGCAGAACTATAGCATTATAGTTTTATATTTAAGTCTCTGCATGACCATAGCGTTATGGTCAAAGATTAAAATATACTCAGTTTTTATTTATCAAGGCTACATTGCCTTTCAAGTTTTTAAAGTAACATTTTCAGTTTCGGGAAAAATTGGCAGGTGTGGCGGGTAGGGGTGGGGATTTTGTTAATCTTTAGTCACTATTTATAAATTTATTATTATGTCAACAACCCTTTATATAAAGTAGACAATGCAAAAATATATATATTTCTGATATATGTATTCTATTTAATATTTAAGAAGTCATAATATAAATTGAAGTATACCTTGCTGATAAAAAATCCAATGATTATTTAACTTTCCTTCTAATATATATAACACTCTTTCTTGCATTGTAATTTAATCAAATGACTCATTTGTTATAAATATATTAAACGATTTATTGATAGATAAAACACAATAAAGGGGAGTAATCAAATGTTGAACCCGCATTTGATTGGTTAATCTGGATTTTGAATCTCGAAACTCGAATTTCGAATCTGGTATTTCGAACCTCGAATCTCGAATGAGCCTTTTGATTGGTTAATCTGGATCTTGAATCTCGAAACTCGAATTTCGAATCTCGAATTTTGAATCTCGTATTTCGAAACTTGAATCTCGAATGAGCCTTCTGGGCTTTCGTATATAACACACCTGACCGTGCCGACAAATTGAATACCGCGCGTTAGCGCGGTATGATAATTTGTCGGCACGGCCAGGTGTGTTATAGGACCGAAGACATCCCAAAATATGAATTCAATGCTTATATTTACATTCTCTAATTTTTCCTCTTCATTATTTTTTATTTCGGTAATCTTTAATGTGAATTTAGTGCCATTCAAAACTGGTTTGCTTTATACACGTAAGAGCCGTTTGTGACGTTTGTGACGTCGCAAAGTTAAATAACGCTAACGAACATTGCGAGGAAAAAATTAATAAAATAATTTTAAACGCATTTTCATTAAATTGTGTCAAAACAATGTACATTTTGGTGTTCCTAGAGTATTGAAAATGCATAGTTCCTACTGTGTATTCTTACGCGCGGTGACAAGGTTTCGCGTGTGATATAGGAATTTGAACGTCGTGGATTTCTAATGGATTTCATAAGGAAAACTACACTGAATGTAAATATTTATGGAATTAGGGTAGAATAAGCAAGGGAAGGTCGTCAATAAAAAAAGTTGCCATTACGTTTATATCAAAGTTTTGTTGGGTTACCTATCTCCCTTTTTTCGAGAAAATATCCAAATAAGAAAAAGATTTGTCAGACTATATATATATATATATATATATATATATATATATATATATATATATATATATATATATATATATATCACCTTACCTGGTGTCATAGTAAATATTTCTCTCTTTTGTTGTGACTAAAAAAAAGAAAAAAAAAACACTAATATTAAAAGCATGCTTCATCTATAAAAAGCACAATTATTTACAAGAAAGGTCATTCAATTATATAGTCATCTCGTCTGTTTATTATCATGCTAAATAGTCCATGACTTACAAAAATAATTGAGTTTTTTCTGCTAACTATAAATAAAAGACATATTCTTGAATTAGCACATACATTAAAAATAAAGCTTTGATCTATTTTGAAACCTGTTGAAATATATGGATATCAAACGTCACTAGCATTAAATGATTTATAAATAGAACCTTATACCATTTCAAGATTTTATTACTGATGAATGTCCTTATTTTCAAAATGACTTTAATTTGAGAATTTGCGTTCAGAACTTTAAAGCAAATTGCCTTTTAAGTTTCGATTTATGACGCAACAACTCATAAAAAAAGTTATAAATTCTTTGGCCCAGCATGAATAGCTAAACAAAAGTACGTTACAAAGTCAAGTATCGGGATTTTACTATCCACTATAAATTAAATCCGTTAACAGTTATGTTAGGACTTTCAACTGAAAGATTGTATTAGGTTTTCTAGTGCCATATTTTATGCACTGTTTCATGGGTGTTTAGATATTTTTTTTAAAAGGTTGTTGCATTACATTATTTGTTTCGAAGAGAGAAGGAGAGACAGTCACAAAGATTAAACCTTCCCCCCTGATTTCAACTGAGATGAAAATTCTTTTTTTTTAAATTTGCACCAATATCAACATATAAAAAAAACCCCGAAGACTTCCTCTATTTCGAAAGATTGATATATAATTATAGCGACATAAAGTAAAAGCGAAAATCGAAAGATTTCACAATGCTTAAATCTATAGCTCTTTGGCTTGTTTGTCCGAATTTTATTATCCAGAAAGCTACATTTCTGCAGTTGAGAAGAAGATTTTTAGAATTAAGATACCATTTCATTTTCATGTTTTTAATAATTTCCCTTCAAAAGAGAGCTTCTTTCAACAAACTTTATTCTCCTTTACCCATAAAGATTGCATTGTGGTAAGATTATTTGAAATTGCCTCATTGGTACTTGAGAAGACGATAAACTAATGAAAAGATTATGACGAAGACATTGTATTAAATTGAGTTAAAGACAGAGTGTGCATAAACTTTTGCTAAATTTACTGATGATTCAAACCCCCTTGTTCTGACCTCCATACATGCTCCATGTTGAGGTTGTATATACTGAAATATGTTACCTTTGAAAGTGTTCTCGTTTGTTGATGAAAATAAGCAGTTAAACAATTAACATCATTATATTGAGCAAGTAGTCTTCTACTGATTTTTTTTTTTCATTTCATGGCCCCAGCACTAGTGACTTTGACCCAAGAGAGGTCTAAGTCTAGAACATATATTGAAAAATATTTTTAAATAAAACTTTGGACATCTTTATTTGTGGACATGTATCATGCAAGTTGTTCATATGCTTACAATGATGACTTTAACCTTTACCAAAGTATTTAGTTTGATACATCCTTAGTCCCTATTCCTCTACAAAACCATGTCGCTGTAACCAGGAATTATCCTGGACGGAGGGAGGGGGTGCTACGTTGGTCATATACATGTTTTTACACCAAGCAACTACTAGACAAGACAAGCAGCACGAGTGTATTTCTGATTATAGAGTCTTCGACGGTAAAGTTTTGTCACCAGTTCCTTTTGGTTAATTTTAATTGGCCATAGCCAGTGGAACACATAAATGTAATACTCAGGTGACCGTTTAAGCCCATGGGACTTTGGTTTGATAGATTTTTATAAATGCTCACCTGTACATTGGCGTTGGCAGCTTTAAACTTTGAAACATCGAAACTCCCAACACTTTCACGCTGAAAAATATAAAAAATGAAAACTATTACATGTGTAGGGGTGGATAAAAGTAATATAAAATAGTAATATTACTTACATTCAAACATTTTATTTCAACAATATTTAAAAATATACATTTCAAAACCTTTTTCGTAGGAATTAAAAGCACATATAATTTTTTGATGGATTTTATGAAATATTTAATCTGAAGAGGGTAGCCGTTCATGGTACCAAGCATAAAGAAGCAATAGCGAGCGGACAAGCAAGGCGATCGCCCCCTCAGTCTCATAATGCTGTCCTCTTATTCTCGCTCCCCTGCGTTGTTGCCCTGTCATTGGCATTCAAACTTCATTCTCTCGCTTTGAGAGACAACCAGTGAGAATATATTCATGTAATGTAATCATATAACAAACTTCAGGAAATATCTGATAGTTTTACAAATTACCATCTAAATTGTTTACCATGTACATACTCTTGTACCCCATAACTATGGAATCCGGATAGGGCCACGCAGTTCACTATCGCATCATCGCACCATCGAGGTTTAGGTCGATAGTGCAATGAAGAGATAATGCGATGACGATGATGCGATGGTGCGATAGCGATGAAGTGATGGTGCGATAGCGCGATGACGATGATGCTATGGCGCGACAATGCGATGACGATGGTGCGATAATGCGATGACGCGATGGTACGATGACGCGATGGTGCGATAGTGATGACACGATGATGCGATGACGATGGTGCGATAGTACGATGACGATGAAGCGATATTCACTATCGCTCAATCGTGCTATCGCACCATCGCCATCGCATTATCGCGCCATAGCATCATCGTCATCGCGCTATCGCATCATCGCTTCATCGTTATCGCACCACCGTTTCATCGTTATCGCGCCATCGCATTATCGCGCCATCGACCTTTAAGTTGATGCTCGATGGTGCGATAGTGAACTGCGTGGCCCTATCCGGATTCCATACATAACATAAAAGTTCGTGAAGCTCTGAAACACCTCCCTAAAAGCCAAAATACCTCAACAACAACTTCCAACATGGTGGCTTTAAAGAGTTGTGCAACTTAACCCATATATAACCAGTAGATAAAACATAGGAAATTAGTACAAAGAAATTGACAACATACAGCATTTAGTCTACATCATTGTGGCTGAGACCTACCGAACTGGAATTTGACTGGCAATTCCTCGCACCTGCCATTTCCTGGAAGAAATGCTATGTTTATCCAGAGACTTACAGACTTTTCAAGCGTTATAAAGTCGCGCAGTTAATTGTATAGATATTGATTTCTCTTCACTTAAGTTTTAGTCGATGCTACAACTAGGGACTAATTTTCCATAATTATCACCACCCAGTTTCACATTACATTAATAGATTGATGTCCAAAATTGATTAAAATGAGGCGCCATTTTAACAGGAATTGATTTATAAAAAACTGACCTGTGATTTACCTTTGGTATTTTTTTTTTTTACATGGAAGTCTATTTACATTTCTATAATTACTCAGATTAAACCTTCTCGAAAACCAGAACAAGAGACCCAAAAGTACAAGAAATGTATTTGACATAAATACAAACTAAAAAGGTAAATTAAACATGAATAGGAAGCTTTCTTCTCCCGCGCCAAAAATACTCATTGGCAATTGAAAATTGCTAATTAGTGAAATACACCTGCACTAAAACACGAGCAAAGAACTGAAGAAAATAAATATTAAAGTGCTGGTCAAGACAAATACATAGAAAGTACAGTTTGAGCTTTATTGTGCCCTAAAAATTTAATGTTCTTAAAAAATTATGAAATTAGCTTTAACAAAAGTTGAGTAGATGCATATAATAAATCATTAGAGAATATGGCATGAAGTAGGACCGCTCTGGAAATATGACGACATTAATTTCGTACATTTCTAAGTTTAATGCAGCCACCGTCGCCCAGTTCAATTTTTTGATATATTATGTAAACTGCTTTGAAAAATCACATATCTCAAAATCTTTGTGGGCGACGGTGGCTGAGTATGTTTTCTTAAAGAAAATTCCATTGAAAATTGATGTCTTCTGCAACTTTTTAAGAAAATACGGGAAATGCACAAGTTAATGACGTCACAATTAGCATTTAGAAGGACATGCAAGAAAAACAATTTGTATATTCTTACTGCACGGAGTTCCAATGAATCAGAAAGAATAAATTTTAATTTGTTATTTCACTTTAATATTTTAGAAAAATACAGGGCTTAATTTGTATTGAAAATGTACCTTCTTCTTTTTCGTCGGATTGATGATGACTGATAGGGATCGATGCACTTAGCAAAAATATTTTCTCAAACTCTGGTCTTTTTAACAGCCCCATCCCTAGATACGAATTACTGACCTTTGTATCCGGAGAATATTAAATTGAATTTTCAGTAGATGGCCATCTACAGTTGTATACTATTTTATGAATTTTGAAATTACGATTTTTGCCCTGTTTTTAAGGCGGAACCTCGGTCCTGATACAGAAATTTTGAAAAACACAATAGCAGATGGCCTTATGCTTCTCCACACCAGGAATTTTCAATTATCTTCAAGCTGTGCAGAAGATTTTTAAAGGTAAATGTTTTTCAGGTTCTGAAACTTTTGGTCCTGTCCATTAAGCAGAACCAGTGCCCTCAAGGTAATAAAAATATATTTCTACTTGAGAGTCTCATCGTTTTCCTTACATACATTCGGGTTGAGTTTAAGATGCTATAAGTGCAGATTTTTTACAATTTAGCTACATGTATTTTAGCATTTTTTTTGGCCCAATCCCTGGGGTCTCATATAAAAATGGGGGAGGGCTCCTCAATTATGTGACATTGGTCAGCGACATCAAATATGAATTATTATCATATTTTATAAAAAAACATTTTAAGTGTTTGTTTATCTCCCGTTAAAATAGACTATAAATTAAAACGCTTCTGGTGTAAATGACACGAAAAATGTCAATTTGGTATTGACTTAGTAAACCCCACTCAGTGAAAAGAAATAAATCGAGTATAAGAGTTCGATTCCTGGTCTTCTTTTCTAGATGTTAAGAATGTCATTAACTAGAGTAAACAGACAAATCTTGAAAATGTTTGTTTGAAAATCGGCCATATATTCAGTGACATTCTAACCAAAATTGACAATACACGGTGTTAAAATGACTCTCACCCCTACTTGTATGATTTTAAGAGTGTGACGCTCTTATATATAGGTAACAATACAATCATGTATTAATGCTTCCCAACGATCATATTCAAATTCAGTAGTTATAATTTTTAGAACCCTGGTCCGGATTTGTTAGTTCCAGGTACGGACCAGGGTTTTATTGGATACCATGGTTCAAGGCTCTCCATTTTAATGTATTTACAACTGTCATTTTGACAGAAATCAAGATTTTTCTTTGATTTTTAATGTCTATTAAATAGAAAACAAGTAACCTGTCTTTTACAATCCAAATAAAAGATTATATGCTCAAAATAATTTCTGTTTTGCCGTTGGGAGCCGTATTGTTAAAATATTAGTTATCTGTGGATTTAATAAAATAGAATGTTTTAAGTTTTGTGTGAGATATTGGTGTGTGACTCACACAGACGTGTCACGTAGGCATATTTCATGAAACGCGCTAGCCTTGATGCGATAACGCGATGAAGATTGAGTGATGGTGCGATAACGCGAGGAAGATGATGCGATTACGAGATACAGAGATGACGCAAAAATTGACGATGGAGCTATACTCACTATCACTTCATCGAGCCATTACGGTATCGCCATCGCAATGTCGCTGCATGGCATCGATTCAATGGTATCGCACCTTCGTCGTCGCGCCATCGACCCAACAGTCGCGATGCTTGATTGTGCAATAGTAAACTATGTGGTCCTATCCGGAGTTCATGTGAGAGAAAGGTTTTAAACAGTCCTCGCAAAGAAATTAATTATAATTTTCACTTGCTAAATATGTTAATTGTTTGAAAAAAATTGCAACTGAGCACATAGACTGGTGTACATTTTGTTCTTTGTGATATTTCGTAACTGAATAAAGTTTAATATGATTTAAATTGAGAGTTAAATTATTATTTTTTACCAAAATATCTTTATACTCAGTATTTTTGTCCGGGGTAGAAAGCCTCCCCTTAGATATAAATCCATTTTTTAAAAAAAATGCCTTTTTCATTGTGACTTGCAGATTTTTTTCCTTTATTAACACTATCTTTCTAACGACCAAAACTTTTTCTTCTCTATATAAATCACTCATAAAAGAAAGAAAGCAAATCTTTAAACCAGAACAACTTATCACTGATTAAGAAAACCCACCCTTTAATACACATTGCTTAAAGTATTGATCAGCGAGTCAAACTGAATTCTTTGGAGATATTATTTTTAACAACAGATTAAACTTAAGATATTCAGGTGATGAATTCGATTTTCTCAACAACAAAAATCAACTCTTTGACGGAAAAATATCCATCATAGTAGAATAATCTTTCACTTGTCCAGGTAAAAGTTATAATTGATTATCATGTTGATTTCCAATAGGACATTGGTCACAAAGATTTGATTTTACATAAATGCTCGAATATAAATTCAATTTTTGTCCTTTTCGAAACAATGGAAATTGACTTTATTCCTAGCAGACAAAGGTAACTAATAAAAATACAGGTATAGTCCACTAATCGATATATTATTTCAAAGGTACACGATACCATGACCGATTCCTTCTGACTGATGAATCTATCCTGGAAAATCCGAAGACGCTCGGCCATGCCGAGGAATCTTTGCGTCAATAATTCATTAAGCAAATGTATCAAGACTGCTCTTTCCATATGTACGAATGCCAGGAACCTGTCAATATATTGGTATATTTAGAAACTGCATCAAAATTTAATTAGATGTTCATAAACGCACCTTGGTAGTTTTACCTTTTCTCCATTTAGAGTAGAAGTTTTATTCAAGCGTCCATATTTTGACGGTAATTTTGGCGTTTTTATTCTATGGTACAGAGTAATTGTTGACATTTTTTTTCAGATCTATTTTATTTTTATACTCACACAGGGAAAATTTCACAATCAATTTGAATAGATTTACCTAGAATTTTGAAACACATCTTTAATCCCATTTAAGAATTTTGCAACTCGCGGTTTACCTAACTAGAGCTTTTCAAACCAATCCGTAACAATTCTATAAATGAAGACTTTCTAATGAATGTTGAATTCCCCCATGAGAGGAAAGGAACGTAAAACAATTTAATTAACGAAAACTAATGATTATTTATTAATTAAACGAAATGACCTTTTGAGAAACAAATGCAAGTAATTAAAGGTGAGCGCAAGATGTGTAAATTCTGTACTGTCAATAAGTAGTCCACAAAGGCAGGATAATCGGTGTTATTGCGCCATACGAGCTTTTCAAAAATTATTTCTACGTATACTTTATGAAATACGTTTATGCCCCCCCCCCCCCCCCCCCCCCCAAAAAAAAAAAAATTTAAAAAACCCAGACAAACAAAAATAATATTATTGAATACTTAGAAAATGGAAATAAATAGATCGACTTCACTATATGGGTAGTCCAGAAGATGAGCATAGCCACACTGCATAAACTAAAATACATGTATTCCTGTCTTAGTGTGATTTTTTAATGCCCCTTGATCGAAAAATCCCGAGGGTATATTGTTTTTTGTCCTGTCTGCCTGTTTGTATAGCTGTTTGTCTGTCTGTTGTCAACTTTAACCTTATAATAACTATATATATTGCGCTGTCAAGGTTAAGGCTTTAATATATATTTGACATAAGTGTTCATTATGACAAGACCTTTTCATTGGTACATTACAGAAATTTTTTTATCTTGTGACCTCAATTGTGACCTTTGACCTACATTTGAAAAACTCCAGAATTGTGTTACCATAGGCGGCATAGTGTTTCAAAAACACATCATGTTCTTTTTATATAGTGGTATGCATGCTTTTCAAGTCTATGTAAATTCAAAATTAACAATATCATAGTCCATGCAAATAAAGTGACATTTCTGATATATTTTATTGAAAGGTGCTTTAGGCCTGCTAGAAAACTATTTTACATGCATGTATGAAACAATGCACGGACATGAAAACTTGTGGCAAAGGAGATTCCAGTATTCAGTGAAACTTGGTTTTTATGCAATTTTTGATTGACTCTAAATGAGTTTACCTATAAACAACTCATAAATAAAGTTTAATGTATTGAACTCTGCATTTGTTGACGTAAAACTACATTTATCAGATTCAGTTTGTTTAAGCTCATGTCTGAAGGAATGTGGGTGTGGAAGTGCAAATTATTCATTTGCAGAACATTACTCGATAGTTTAAACACATATATGAAAAAAATTGATCAGACAGAAATAAAAAATTTAGGAAATTAATCAATAAGGGAATTCGACCTTATCTGTTAGCAATTAGAAATGACATAGAAGCATTTCCTCTTACGGTAATGTCATTCAGTAATAATGGATAATACTTAATGTGGGAAGTAAAATTCCAAAGAACTTTGCTACTTACAGTTTTAATGTATTTTCAATACATGACATTCATAATGGTCATGTTTAAAAAGTCTAAATTATCGATTGTTTCCACTAAAAGCAAAATTTGGTTTAATATATTGACATTTCATTGCAGTAGTAAACATGACCAGGAAACAACAGCCTCAAATAATGAGTGTACATGTGTGTCCCTGCTAAATTCTTTAGATTCATCTACACATTATATGTTTGGAAAAAAAAGAGCATTGTAAACGTATAATACGCATGGTAAAAGACTACAAAGTTCAGATAAACCCCAAAAAGATGGAGGGGGAGATAAGGTCAAATTTTTGTGAATTATAAACAGAAATATTTATTTTAAAATAATTACGTTCAAGCTAATTATTTATTCAAATATGCAGATACTAGTATTGCAAATATATAGGATTTATTTACTCTTGTTAACTTATAGGGCATCTGAGTGCAAGTTTAATTCTATCGATGAAGTTCAGGAAAATTTTGAACTGCGAAATCATTTCCTAGGAATCGCATTTTATATCAATGTACGGACCTATCCTTCAAAGTTCCAAACACAGAAACTAAACAGTTTTTTTTTGTGATTTTTAAGTCACACAAATTTCCACGTCAGAGTTCACAGAAAATTCCACTTAAAATCAAATCTTTGATCGTCATACGTGAAAATATCAAAGATTTTATGTATTAAACACATTTCATGGAACTCACATGTTATACTTGTTAAGTCAATATTTAATTGTTTTGCATGGATTTCACTTTCCAGTTCCCCTGAGAAATCTTTTGACAATTTTTTACAGTTGAAAGAGTTACACGTAGCTAATCTGCTAATGGTTTCATTTGGAAAATCTGTTTTAGCAAGTTTTGCAAACTTTAAAAACCATTGCTTTAAAAAATGTAAAATTGTCTTTGATGTCCCAATTCAAGCAACAAGATCTCGTAACAGCATACATTGTATATTTCATATCGGAGCTGATTACCAATGTTTGGACCGTCGGAAAAAGGCCAGATACCCAGTAACTTACGACGTGTGAAAATATTTGATTTTTGGTCCTAAATGTCAAATAGGCTAGAGTCCTCTCGGGCCGTGTGTTGACTTTTATGTTTAAATCGTTCTACTTAATTTCCCCCACGTTTAGCATTGGTGGCTGGTTCTAAATTGTCTTTGAATTTTGGTCCAGATACGGCTGCTCCTGATTAATGTTTATTTACAGATTTTTAAAGGGTTCAGTACATAGAAGCGAAGATAACGAGTTGCGTCTTTTTAATTTAATTAAGCACTGGGCGTGTTTGTTTATTGTTTGTACATATCTTCAGTGGGAACACCGACGTAGGTTTCATAAAGATTAAAAAACAGGTGACTAGGTTCTTCACGTGCGACATAATGGCGAATTATAAATGGTCACGGTTTATTGTTCTCGTTACTCGGGTAAATAAGATTACGGTATGCCAATAAATAATTTAGGCATTTAATAACCTATACACGCTTCCCTTAAAATGGAATATTTTGTTATTGAAAAGCCTGCCTTTGATAATTCTTAAGAACCTTTGGCTCATTTTAAAATAACATGGAACTTCATTTTTAATGTACACTCTCGAAAGAATAGAGTGGTCATTATATTGCCTTTAAGGGTTTTATTGCATGCATTTTATGAGTGTACAGGGAAATTCTTTCTTGATACAACAAGTTGCTTAGAGAATTAAAATGCCAGGGTCTCGTTTGTGCATAGATAAAACACAACAATGGTTTAGAGAAATAAAAAGAATTTTTTAAAATAAGAAATTGTCTGATAGGTAATAGCTTCCTTGGGCATGGATAAAGAGAATTTTCCTCGACCTCCGAATGACAGACACTACATATCAAAACCAGGCTTCTCAGATTAATTCAACAACAATTTGTTCTCAATTTTTCCATTATTTGTTTTTAATTATCCTTTTTATTACACCTCTGAAGCTGTATTCAAAAGACTCTATAACCAAGAGAATAAAGTACATTAACATCATGAAAAAAAAACCTAATTATATGTATTGACTCTACTAATATGATCAGAAAATTATGAGCCAACATATATCACATACGTACTATGGGTTGGGTTCTGGGTACCGTGGGTGGGTTCAGTTACTTACTTTTTCCGGAAGCTCCCACTCGTCCGGGTCCCTGTAGATGGTCTTCTGTCGGAGGAGGTCGTTGGGTCGGTACTGTTCCCGGAACCCCCTCTGAGCGTACGTCTCCGGTAGGTCCTCTACAGGGGGGTCGGGGAGTCGGGGTGGCAAGGAATTTTTCTGTTTGCTATTATAGTCATTATATTGCTTTTCCTGATTATTGTTCTGGAACGTTTTGGAGTCATTGTTCCAAGAGGAATCCAAGTTTAGATCGTTCGTTAAGTCGACACTGTCGTCTTTTTTGACGATGAATTTTGTTTTGGCATTCCGAGGGGTGTTGTTATTCACTGGGGAGTCACTCCTTACCCTAAGGTTATTTTGTCCCTCACGCCCTGTGTCCCTCCTGGGTTCGTTCCGCTGTACCGTCCCCCCTTTTTCAGATTGATTCGCCGCCTCTGTGCTTCCACCAGAACCCATACTCCACGAAAGTTGTATTAATTATAACCTTCCCTAAAACACATAATTCCAAAAATATAAAAATTAATCAGAAATATAATTAACGGCTCGGTCACATTTTCTCCTAATGGTGAACCACCGACATTCACTTGGACACTGAACTATGCTGATTTAAATTAAGCCATATTAGAACATTCCGAAATGGCGCGCTGCCTATTCGTATACTTTACTTCGGTCTGAAGACTGCGTAACCTCTTGGCAATCTTACAGTTCATTGGTTCGCATTTTCTGTTTATAAATAGTTCCACCGGTTTCAATTACTCTCGTTGATTGAAGGTTATACAAATTGATATTAACTGATCGTCGATCAATATAAATACAGGGTATGACATCTATGAATCAATATTTAAATATTAAGCAACCGAGGTCTGATCGAAGAATACAATAAAACACTCCGGGATTAAGATCATCTCGTAAATCTATATTTTTAAGTCATGAAGAGGTGTTATGAGCCAGTTGGGAAGACATGATCATCCACGATATAGGCTTCAGTTCCTGCAATTTTTTAAAAATAATTCAGGATCATAATTATGTAATTTAGATTTTCAAATTATAATTAATTATCTAAACTGATTTTATTTTAGATTTATTAATGATAATGAGCCTTTATATAATAAACTTAATAATACGCTATGTTATGCAGAAAGGAAGTTTTTTAAAAAATCGAAAGACATGGATTGAGTTATGGTTTTCCTTTCAGGAATCTAAATCTCCTAACATTTTAGCCACCTTTTCCTGTTACCATGTTCATTATAACCAAAAAGCACCTATCATTCATTCATACGTTATTTCCAGTTTGAAGGGAATTATGAATATATCATATAAAACACATGCATTACATAAATTTAGTGAAGTTCCCTCTGAGGGACAATGCAAGAATTTGCGTGGTATCATGCTCCTCTCTGTCCCAAGCAAGATCCTGCCAAGAATAATACTGGTAAGAATTGATTAATTGTTTGATTGATCGAACGTTGTTTAACGTCTCTCTCGAGAAGTTTTCACTCATATGAAGACTCCACCACTTGGAGAGCTACAAATTCTGTCTTATACTCGGCACTTAGGGCCATTGAGCAGTGAGGGGTCTTTTTCGTGTCAGCACCTTTTGCGACACGGGACCGAAGGACCGCTCTCCACGTCCCACAGTGGGATTCGGACCAGCGACGTAAGGATCAACTCCTTACTTGGCGACTCTAGAGCCGACAGTCTAACCACTGCGCCACGCGGGTGACGGCAAGACTTGAAGATTCCGCACAAGAACGCCTCCGACAGGAACAGGATAAATCCTATATAGACCACCACTCTCCTTAAAATAGTCGCCCGCGTGGCGCAGTGATTAGAGCGTCTGCTCTAGAGTCGCGGAGTAAGTCGACAATCCTTACGTCGCAGGTTTGAATCCCACTGTGGGACGTAGAGACCGGTCCTTCTGATGAGATAGTATAAAACGAGGTCCCGTATCGCAGTAGGTGCTGGCACGAAAAAGATCCCTCAATATTCAATGGCCGAAAGTGCCGAGTAACATATAGGACAAAATTTGCAACTCTCCACCGGCAAGTGGTGGCGTTTCCATATGAGTGAAAAATTCTCGAGAGGGACGTTAAACAACATACAATCAATCAATCACTGAACAATAAAACAGTCATTAGAGTGGCAGTCAACACTACATCTGAACAGAACATGTAGTCTCTGTCAATTAGGTAACATAGAAGATGAATTCCATTTTGTGTTAAAATGTCCACATTACAACACATTAAGACAAAAATATATTAAATCCTACTACTCCCGAAGACCAAGCGTCTTCAAATTGGTACAGCTACTCAGTACACAGAATATAAAAGAATTATGTAATTTAGGAAAATTTTTGCAATTAGCGAATGCCTCAAGAACAGCATCTTTATCAATTTTATAGATTATCAGAAATATTATATGCTTTGCACATGTACGTTGTATGTTTATTCCATTATTGCACGTGTTAAGATGTATGTTTATTTCATTATTACATGTGTTATGTCTATGAGATGTACGTCTCTCGACTTCAATAAAACTGAACTGATTTATTTATATGAACTCCATCAACTTTCAAAAGGCCTTTGACAGTGTTGACAGATGTCATCTGTAAACTACTGTAGTTTCCTAAATATACGCGTGGGATTAATTATCGCGTAATTTTGCGAGAAGCACCACACGTGAAATAAAATTACTCGCCTTTATTTTATGCAAAATCTCTTGACCAACCGTCCATTAGCGATTTAGTACTCGCCAAAAATAAGGAATCTACAGTACTCCAGCATATGGATCGCCACCTACCTCCACCATCCTCATACAACTTATGTATGGCAAGGCTACATGCCAAGTCCTCCACATAGGTAAGCTCACAATTTAAGCCTTTGAGACGCGAATAGGATTAAGACGCGACTGTCTTCTTCACTGTTGATCTTCCTAGTGGTGATCTACTGGATTACGCAGAAAAAACCCACAAGAGATGGCAAGACAGGAGTAAAATGAACTTTCAGCCAGTGTTTAGAAGACTCGACTTTTGTGACGACCTATGTCTTATGTTCCAGAAATATGAGCAAATGCAGCTAAAAACTGATAGTCTCGGGTAGGAAGTAGCAAAGACAGATCTACATATTGACAAGACAGGTTACGCGACTCCCCAACAAACAGCAAACACCAATCATGCTTCGAGAGCATACCCTGAAAGACAGAAACCTTCACATACATAGGCAGCATTTGCTCAGCCACAAGTGAAACAAATAAAGACATTTGATAAAAGCAAGGATCAGTAAAGCAAGACACGCCTGAATCACGCTCATGCCTGTGTGGAGATCAACAGCACTGTCCACAACCATCAAGCTCCGTATTAACAACAGTAATGCTGATCCCACCCCTGACGTTTTAGAGGTCCATGTTTGCTCTGCTCTCGATGCGTCAGAGGGGATCACAGATCGAGTGATAATATCAATGGTTCCAAATACACTGCCAAACACCCAGGGGAATATAGAATCCTGATAAGCTAGACAGGGCCAGTAAGAGAGGATCATAACTTGATTTGTAGGAACCTACGGAACCACGAGACTTGAAGTTCTCTCTTCTAGCAAATATAGATCATTCAGCTGGAAAGATGCAAACTGTATATCTGTCCCTTTTTCAGAAAGGAAACCAAAACAATATGAAGGAAAATCCTTTATTATCCCACATAGATACGGAACATAAACTGTAGATTTATCAGAAACAAACAAAATTACATCGGAAACATGGTTAGATTCGAGCACTGTAGTAAAGATAGATCAAACGGTGTGCTCATCACCATTCATGTCAAACTCCTTAGCTAAAGGTATTAGTTGAGGAAATATTTGATACTGCATACAACAAAGTGGACATGAATAATCTATAAATAAGTACTAAAAATATCAGAATCTGTGCCTTTTCGATCCTAAACCATCGAAATTAGAAGACGTACTTAGTAACAGCTTTTGTGTCTGTTCAACGTGCTCGTATATTTTCAAGCCCGTAGCATAAAATCCTGTCCAAATCCTGAAATTTCCTAGCGCCCAACCCTTACAGCAACGATAAGTAGGCAACCAGCATGCAAAGGAAAATTTTCAATAGCAAAGACTCAGAAAAAAAAAAACCCCTTCCAGCTTTCTACGGGGGTGTATGTCAAATCATGGGTTATCTTAATTTTGTTTTTGCCTATTAAAATTGATATAAAATATTTGTATATGTAGTCTCCTGGTAAAGATAAACAGATAATAATTTCTAATGTCTTTTTTAAAGTCTTGATTTCAAATTAATATCTATTTAAGATGGACTATTCACTCCTATTTCAATATGAGTGAATCCGCAGGAACACATCCGTATACTATATATTTGACCAAGTCTTCATGTGTTTACATGTATATGTCAAGAAAATATGTTATTCTGTAGGGGTTTTTCCCCCAATTGCCATCATTAGTTTTAACAGATGTGTAGTAAAAATTTCAGCATTGTTGCAAGAGCAATAACTCTTGATGTGATACATTAAAAGACCATTAATGCACATAATAAATGTTTGGATTTTTTCTGTCATCAAAACACTGAAAATATACAAAATATGATAAAATCTGTGTTTATTTTAACAAACACATAATTGACCAATAACAAATCTACAGAAATGTGCATAATTAGCACTATCATAATACTTAAAGCATTATTAAACAAGGAACACAGTTTTAAAACTAGCTGTATGTATATATACAGACCTATTTGGCCCAAAATAGGAAAAAGCTTAAATCTGAAAAAAATTATAAATGATATACATCATCTTTTTCAAATTTTTCATCAAACCATTACAAGAAAGGAACAAGAAAGTTTTAATTAAACAAATAAATAAAATGAAAATGTGATAATGAAATTGGACCCCATATTGACATGCTTTCATGAATAAAATCAGAGTCTGGGTACATAACATCATCAGATACCCCCAGGTGGTCTTGTTGATTACTCACTGTGACAAGTAAAAGACTAAATACCTCATGCTTATCCAACTATGGGTACATAATTATTCTTCCACCTATCATTCTAAAATAAAAGACAACTGTGTCTAATAAATAATAAAAAATGGAGGTAGATGCACTGGACACTTCTCCAAATATACAGATAAGTTTATGCAATGTTTTTTTTTTCTGCTGGTGTAACTAGATAATATTTTATTCAACAAAAGTTTATATCTACAAAGAGGAAATTGTATTTCCATCTTCTAAAAACAAAGAATGAAATAATATTTTTTTTTTTACTTCTGTGGTAAAATTGTTATTAGACATTTGTCAGTTTTCTCACAAACCCTGTTTAACCAGAAAAACAAACTAAGGATTTATACACTGGTATATTCTTGTAACAAATACTGTATACAAGGAATATGATGCTCCCACTTTATTATACCCCCCGCTTGAAAAGCGGGAGGGTATATAGTAATCGTTAATTCCGTCCGTCCGTCTGTACGTCCTTCCGTCCGTCCGTCCGTCTGTTACGCTTTGGGGTACCCATCTCTTATCCGCAACTCCTCTCATATCACTGAATGAAATTTGATGAAACTTTCACAGAATCTTCATTACATATTGCCATTGTGCACCTCCTATTTTACTTTTTGATTCGACACATATTTTGGGTTTCCCGGCCACAGGAAAACATGGACTTTTTCACCAGTTATAACCATATAGGAAGCGGGGGTATCATTTAGTGAGCTCATCGCTCACAGTACCTCTAGTTTTTGTCTCTTTTGTGCTTATTTCCAGTTGTCAAATCTAAAACACAGTGAATTCAAAAAAGACAAAATTAGATTTTTAACCCATTTGTGTCTGGGCAAATTTAAAAAAAGGGTTGGGGGGGGGGATTGTTTGCATGTTAGAAAGGGTGAAATAATAAAGGGCAAAAATATCCCTGTATACAGTATACACAAGGCTTATTTACAGGCAAGTTTTACTTTTCATTTAAAGCTAGGTGACAAGTGAACAAATTAAAAGCTATGTAAATCTATTAACTTAATTACATACAAGTTCATACTTTTGATCAGTGAACATAGAGAACAGCCACAAACAAACAGAAACACACATTCACAATCATTCCAAACACACATATATATTTTATCTTAGTTAAAAAAATCTACAATTTGCACACAGTATAAGCCACTTTCATCACAATCTCTTCATGGCACAGCTGAGATATTAATTGTTCATATTTAACAAAATAAGTACAGTCTTATTTCTTTTATTTTTACATGCCATCATTTTGTAGTTTTATCTTGAAGAAAAAGCCATATTCTCTTTGCTCTTCATTTTCTTAAAACCTGCTATGATTTTTATTTTATCCTTCAAAAATTTGAAGGTCACACAAATTTGTTTTAAAACTCGGCTCTTAATTTATCAATACATCAGATTAAACAATCAGATCTAATTTAAACATGTATAATATGAACATGTACAAATAAAAGGAGGAACATTGGCAAAACACTGACTTGAATTACATAGAGACCATCAAAACAACAAATAACATACTGGTATGTAGCTGTAATTTTTCTGTATATTTTATAAGTAAAATGCTACACACTTCGTTAATAACATCTTGAAGCACGAGTTCATTAAATTAAAGTTAACTGTTTCCACCAGATTTGTTCAGTGATGATAATGTTGGCTGCGTTTTTTCCATTGCACCGTTTAGAGTTATCTCCCCATAACAGGGTACTGATGTTTGATGATAACAATAAATACATGTATAAGCTTGATAATTAACAGGATCCAAAAATATTTGACTACATTTAAATGTTCAACGTCTGACCATTAAAGTGTTTCCATATTGAGCTCTTCCCCTCCAAGAGTCAATCAAAGTACAATCAAAATGTTTCCCCACCAGACAAACAATTTTAAAGTGAGTGGGAAAAATTCTCACAGAATCCCAGTCAATTTAAGTCCCAAATGCAATTCACATAAATATCCATTTCACAAAAACATATACATGCTAGTATCATTATTGAGTACAAAATCCGCAGCTATTGCAGTCTTTCAGTCTTCATACAATCAGTATGCATCAGCATCAGACTTCCCTAAACATGCATTCATGTAAAATAATTTTCCTTATATGGATTGACAATAATGCACCTAAAATGATGGTATAACATTATAAATATTACAAAATATAAGCATCAAAGGACTGAACACAGAACCAGTGATTTACAATATCTACGGAATAACTAGGGGTAATGCCGGAATGGCTGATCTACGTTGCTTGATGATGGCGTAATCTGTACCCAGGGTAGCTCTTCTCGTCTCTCGCTTTTTGTTTTGGATTTATTACTAGCTTTGCTTCTGACGCTGCGTAAACTTCGAACACTGCGCCGATCGGCGCCGTAAATGTCATTCACAACGGTGCTCTCTCTCATGCTGGTCTCATAGCTGGGTGGTCGGTCTAGCGTGGGGAACTCACTACCGTGGTTGTCATACGATAGCGTTACATTGTCATTACTTTGATATCGACGTCTGGAGGGAGAGGAATTGGAATACATTTTAACAAACTCTAGTTCATCATTTGCTGAAGATGCTGAAAAATATAAAACAATTTTTAATCAAATTATCTATCTTTTAATATATGTCAATCTAGGCTTTTGCTTTAATAATAATGAATCATTAACCAGTTTTAAAAATAGTTATTTGTAAGCTTTCCTTTTTCATCAAAGAATTTCAAATAATTAAATGCATGTATTATCGATAATTTAAATTTTCCCAATGCATAAATCAATGAAGATTTAAAATAAACACAACCTTTCACAATTTACTTTATAAGAGAAAAAAATTCGAAGTTGATACAACAATCAGTTACAACACAATACTAACAATACTTCATCCAAAAAAAAAAAATAATGTGTTTGAAATTCTGAATAAATATTTCTATAATTTATACATATAATAAAATATATATCTTTCTGAAATCAACATATATTTTTGTAGGTACATGTAACTGTACATTCAATTTATTTTTATTTAACCAAATTAAGTTCCATCTATGATCATTACATGTACCATGTCATGCTCTGCATCTTATTTTGTAAATTTGTTATCAGCAGTATCAAAGTATTAAATAAGCTTTTATAAATGTTTGTAAATAAAAAAAAAAATTGGGCATTTTATTTTATTAATATGAGAGCTCCTTAGAAACAACTGCATGACAAACAAGCTAAAGTTCTTGATCAGAGAAAACACAGTATGCACCAGCTATTCTGGGTGAAATTCATAGTAATTTTCCATAATACTCTTGGACTTAACCCGATAAACAATTCTAATTATCATTTTTCTACCAGGAATATTTTTTCTCCCTTTGACTGCTATACTACGTGTCTAATCAACAAGGCTGGTCAATAAAAAAAAAAAACATCACGAGTTGACGACTTCCGGATTAGATACATTAATAACTTCAGAGACCACCTAATGCTCAGATCTAGCATCCTTCCTTTTTCTGTATTTATCATCCTCTTATTGTTGTCACAAACAGATGTGTTCATCTTAATATAAATATCTCCTTTAAAGCTAAAAAAAGCCCCACAGATTTCATCATGTAGTGATGTACATGTAGTTTGTACTATGCTGAAGTTCAAAAATATATGATTGAGAAAATAAACTATGGTTTATCTGTACTTTGCATTTATGTGGGGATGATTAACAAATAACTGATGAAAATAATTTCTAAAAAGATTTTTAAGGCACTAGCCCAAGGGCAATTACAGAAAATTTAAAATAAATGTAGCAAAATGTATGTATATTAATATGTAAAGAGACCTATCCTTCTCTTGAGTTTCAGTTTAAATTCTAATCAAAATCAATTTAAAATCATAAGTTACTGGTTAGAATACAATATGGTGTTTGTCGAGATTTTGAAAATATTTGAATTCTTTATTATTAGAATACATGTACAATATCTGTCAATTATTTCATTATCTGGGTATCAAAACTGGGATGTTAAATTGTCCTCTCTTTATACTACATATGCAGTTTTATATTGAAATCTTCTAGTCCATGGATGGATTATTGATATTTTTCAGAGAATATTGGAGGATGGAAAGGGTGAGGGGCTGTTAATACACATTAATGGTGTTCAATTGGAAGTTATTTTCAGTACATGTAACTACATGTACATTACAAACACTGAAGTTATGTCATCTTAATCAAATTAAATGTTTATTTGGATGTACATCAGTGATATTATATTATCACTATGTCACTGAAGCAGTCCTGCTTCTTACATATAAATAATTAACGACACCACTTTGTAATACACATTGTAAGTGTTCACTTAAGATTTATATGCATGCAAAAATGAAACACTTTACATCTAACCACAAGTATAATCTGGTAAACATGTAAACGAATTTGTCCAGGAAATAATTAAAAAGCAAATTAAGCCGACAACATGTATCTTACTGTGAGTGCGGATGTAACTGGGAATTTTGGCCAGACATGTAAAAGAAAAGAAATTTATTGAGGCATCTTTAACTGTTGTCAGTGTGAGGCTAAACCTTTGTCAGATGGAAATTTATAATAAGTATATAACCTGTACCTGTCTAACTCAGAATGAAATTTATAGAGTGCTTGTCTCTTATCTAAAAACTGACAAAACTGCAGAGTTCAATATTTAGGGGAAACATTCTAAAGATGGAGAATGTTTTATTCTTTTACTCAACCGATACCAGTAAAATCTATCTCCATAACTTTGTCAGAATATTACATATAAATTGACCTAAATTTTCTGCTTTATGGGGGTATGGGGGATCAGTTTTGGCCTACTTGTGCTGCTGCAATGACATACAATCTGATAATCATGAAAATAATATGTCACAAACAAAACAGCTCATTAGAAAGCTTTCTGCAATCCAAGCCTTTGTGAACCTAGCTCACCGTCATTCATCTAAGCTTTAGACAAACGTCAATACCCCTGGTGGTATACCTCTACATGCATTTAGTATAACTTTTCCTTTGAGGTATCATTAAGGCAAATTCTTACATCATGCCTTTGTAAAGTAGCAAATTTATAATTCATACCTATCCCAAGTAGACTTCAATTAACCACTTAATATTCACAAACAAAGATAGACAGGTATATAATGTCATGAATTTCAAAAACAAGATTTGTTCTTAATACTGTAAATCACTTTTTATTCGCGAGAACATTATTTTCGCGTAATTAGGTGAGACAGTGTGCTAGCGAAAATTTAATTCTCACGTATAATAGCATTCCTGATGATTATATAGAGCAATAACCAAGAATCGCGAAAATTTTGTCTCGCTAATCAAGAGTCAATGACTATCTTGCGAAAATAAGGTGTCGCGAAAATTTAGTGAGCTACAGTATACTATGCAAGAAATTCCCACCCTCCCTTTCTTAAAAACTTTCAATCATTTCGTATCCACCCTATCAAATAAATCCTTAAATAGTCAAATTAAAAGTTAAGAGCAAATATTTAGATCAGATTATAGAAAGTTAATACTTCATCTACCTAATGAAAGAGTCAATATTGAACATTCGAATCAGGTGCCCAGGCATTATATGTAAGATCAATTATCAATCACACATAAAACACATGAGTAGACTCTCAAAGATTGATCAGTGAGTAATTAGAATGAACCAAAACACAAATTAGGTAAACAGTGTGATGAATTGGCTAAATTAAATTGAACTTCACAGATCTAGATGAACTTTGATTCTGAAAATGCAATGTATTGGTGTACAACAGTACCAGGAATGTGTAATACCTATCATTAACAACAAGTGAAAGTCAGTGTTACAGACAGACGAACAGAGTGAGTGATGTTGAAATCGTATGATGTCTGTTATGAATTTGCCCTGATGTTGTCTGATGGAAATTATAAATGATTATGTATCTGTTATATATTAGCATACATCTAGATAACCAATTCTGAGCCATGTTAGTGAATAAACAACACCCTTTTAGCTAGCTGTTATCATGATATCTATCTTACAAGATTTTCCTGTGTTTTCTGTGACACATTTTTGACTTGCTGAAAAAATATAGCATGCAATATATTACTCGTGTTCTATAAGATTTTCTTTACTCTGTTATAAAAATATATATTTTTCCTTTCATAGTACAAAATGGGAAAACTACTGTATACCAATAAATGCAAATAAGATATTAATGGTAACAGTTTTTCTAATATATGTACTATTATAATTGCAATTTATAACTATTATAAATATACATGTGCATAATGTGTTATGCAGTTCTCGTAAATATTCTGTTTACATTAAGGACTAAAATAACAGGTTAATCAACGTAAAACATTGGTTAAAAAGAACTTGAAATATGTCCAGTTTAGTCGTAACAAAAACATTGCTAACAAATTTTGTCTTACGTGCAGGTTTGTAAAGATATTTTTCTCTACCTATGCATGAAATAAAAAGCTATTGGGTAATTTTTTTAACAGAAATTCCAGCACTTATTAGAATTAAATAATATGCAACTTTAAATTTCTGGTTGTAACAAAAAAAAACATCTGCATTTTAAGTTACCTTCTAAAACAATGTACCTAATATACTACAGTTCACTTTTGTTTATCTAACTTGTTTATCCATCTTCCAGGTAAAAGAATTAATTTCTTAGCTGCATGCATGCAACGAAAAATTATTTTTAAAAAAGCAACCAAAAAAAAAGTTATGCAATTTCAATTTTCATGCATTACAACAAGAATAAAAAGAGATAGAAACAAATAGCATTTAAAAAAACAAACAAACAAATATCGAAGAAACACGATGAAAAATATTTTGAGTTGTCAAAACATCAGCATATTTAAATTCAAATTTTAAATGTACTTTTCTTTACATGTGCTAAACACTGTTTAAAAATCGCCATGTTCCCTTTAAACAGAAATATTGATAAAACCTTAATACTGTTTTTGCACCTGTTCTTTGCTGTTATATATCCTTCTTATTTAGAATCTCATAAGTTGCAAAAGAGAAACCATCAATAAATCAATGCTTGCTAAAGTCAAAGATGTAAGACCAACTTTTAAAATTAAAGGGGGAAAAATTAATCAAAAGAATTTGTCCGTTGGTTGCCCTTGCTTCAACATGAAATTTTTATCTTTAAGATTCACTTCGCTAAGGTGGAACAATTTACTCAATAAAAACCGAAGCTTCAGTCTCTGAGAACACAATCTAATCAAAATTATATCTTTGATCCACTCCAACTCTGTTGCTGCTTAGATCTAATTTTAATGAGAGTGCTCATAACAATTTTAAAATAACATATAATTTGTCAACCAAATTAAACCAGTAACAACAGGAAAAGAAAACCGTTTTCAACAAGAAAATATAACATTTGAAATGTTTTACCTATACAAAAATTGGTTTGAGATGCTGGTGATAGTAGGAAATAGAATCGAAGCCTCCAATGAACTCCACTGAAAGAGCATACCAAAGGGTGTTATGTCATAGCAAAAAGAATACCAAGTCAAAAGTACATCTGTACTGAATATTGACAGTCGAAGTCCCCCAACATGAAGATGCCCTTCATTTGCATTGTATATGTGAATAAGCCCCTGCAGATTAGCCAGCCAATTACTGACCATTTTCTACTCAGGTCATGTTAGTGGCTTTGTAGCACAAGTCTCCTGCAGACTCTTCTTTTATATTTGTGTGGACAAATAATGCAGTAAATAAGGTAAAAGGGTGGAAAAAATTCAGACACATGTAGTCTTATGAAAACAATTTGAATGATTTTTCCAGTAGATGCTCCAGCTACATGCATAAGAGAAAACAATCCTTAACAACTGAAAAGGTCGTCTAAATTATAAGGCATTCACATGTCTGAGACTTAATGGAATAAATCAGCCTTTTGAAAATATGAGTAAAAGCAATGTATGGCATGGAAAACACAAGGACTGAAAAAAGTTTCTTTTTTCATAAATTAATAGGGTACAAAATGAAACTTTAATAATGAATAAAGGAAGGAAAAATAAACAAAAGAAAATTTAAATGTACCAATTTTGCTTTTTTAATTAATTTAGTAAATACTCCTGGTGGTCTTGGGTCCACTGAAAAACAACGATATAATTTCTGCTTACAGTAACATCTACATAAAACTAACAGGAAGTATATTTTAGATCTCTATTTATAACAAAACATGCAGGTTTCCCTTCATACATGCAATTTAAAACCACCTAATTTGTCAAAAAAAAGAAATTTTTCTATCTATTGACTTTTCAATTCTTTCCATACTGAAAAGGTTTACCACATAAAGCTGAAATTTATAATTTATGAATCGAGTTCTTTATACCATTTTAACATAAACTTAATATGTGGGAGTTATTTTGATCTATTTTCTTCCAAAAAGTACTTTTGAAGACAATTTTCTAGCTGAGTAAGAAAAAAAAGATGACAGACAATAGTAAGCCATATGAATATCACCCAATCTCTTTACTAAAGCTCTGCAAGACAAGCTTAAGCACCACTCTAATGGCCTACCCTCCAAATGTCGCACAAAACAACAACTAAAGATCCACAAGAGAAAAGGGTGGAAAACAAACCAGTCACAACATAAAGACATTAAAGAAGGGGGGATAGAGCACCGTGCAGCTGCCAGGTAGCAATGCAAAAGATCTACAACAAATACCCTGACACACCTCTGTGATCACACCCCCTAAACTTCATCATCATACTGCTGGATCAACAACTGGGAGGTCTGTGACATACAGGGCGTGGCTTGTGTGTCATGTGACCAATCCAAACCCTCAGAATAGGTCTGTGACATACGGGGCCTGGCTTGTGTGTCATTTGACCAATCCATACCCTCAGAATAGGAAACATAGGTGGGCAAACACCAGCTATCTCTAACATACAGTGTGGGATAAGACTGGGCCGAATAGCTATGGCGAAGTGTGCCCAGTCGTGGGTATGTGCTAGTGTATGCCAGGTACTTACAACTTTCTTCTTCTTCATTAAATGCAGATATGCTGACACATGATGAAGTGAACCCAATCAACTGGAAAAGAGAAGGGCAATATGTAAATCACAGTTCAACAATTCTTTATGTAGACGTAATCATGCCAAAATTAACATATTATTTATAGAATTTTGAATTTTTTTATTTTCAAACAAAAATCAATCTTTTATTCTGACAATAAATGCAAATGAATTCTGTCAAATTCATCATAAACCTTAATGATAAATGCATTCACATTTTTTTTTGTAATAATTACAAACATACATAGAGAATTCAATATGTAGGGCAAATTCATCAACAGAATGACTTGTCAATTTAAAATCATCCTGTTTTAGTTCAATAACCCTTTAAAACATCCAGACAATGCTGTATATATATATAAGACTTCTGATATCATGTCAAGTGTAAACTGGACTTACGGCTAACAGACACTGGACGCCTGCGTGGATGACCTCCACATAGTAATAATCCAGGAGACATCCCTCTACCGCCTCCTCTGGGGGGATAAGCCGACTCGTCTTCACCGGATTATCACTCATCCACGTGTCATTAGTGATCTTACATCCGATTCCATGCTCTAACCACCAACTCTTGTTCTTTGTTCCAATGGTTAATATAAACAGATCTCTGTTCTGTGGAAAAATTAAAAAAATATACTCTAAATTTTTTTTCTCTGACACATTTATTTTCCTTTCCATTAAGGAATGAAACAAAAATATACATTTAACTGACACATTTTTTTTTATAGTAAATGCCCTAGCTCATGTCATTTACACATTCAAATATATTTTGCCCTAACTCCTTTAATCAAAGAACATGTTCATAACACTAACATTTCCTTTCCTGCAATTACACTACCCGGTACTTATACATATAAGTATGTCACTCAGCAAGAGTATATTTCGTAGATGCTGATGTCTGTTTTTTTGTAACAAAGATTTATACTTTATTACTTACTCTATTTAGAACACCAACTTCTAAGTACAGACAAATGACAAATATATTCCATCCTAACCACATTAATGACCATGTTGAATACTGGAAGAGAAGAAAAAGAAGGAGTATTAAGCTTTTAATAACCAAGGCATCTGTACAATATCTTGTTCAATAGTAAATTAATAAAATGTATCTTCCAATAGAATTCACATATTTTTCTCAAGAATTTTCTAAGAAAAAAAAATAGAATAAACTCTCTATATTGTTTATTTTATTGGCTTTGCTAAAGATCTGCGACAGTCTACTAAGTACCTACCACTACTACAAACTGTGCTTTCATCTGATATGTTCCAAAAATTCCTAAAATGCAACAGATGATCTGAACTGTGTTGGCAATAATGGGTGCCCACATATACCCTAGAAAATCAAACACTTGTCTTTCCAGTGTGCTGAGCTGGAAAAAAATAAGTCTGATGATATATGATCATATCTAAACAGCAACATTTGGGGAAAACAAGGAAAAATCTATGTGTATGATTCTGTAGTGGTCAACCGGGATCGATTGCTGGTGGCTAAATAGCTCAGTCAGTAGAGCAGCTGACCAGAGATTCATGGGGCCCAGGGTTCCCATCCCAGTCTAGTCTGCTGCATTTTTCTCCTCTCCCAAAACATTTAGTGCAGTGTTATGCCCTGGAACTGACAGGTGAGAGGCCTACTAGGGATGAGAGTGGGTTGGGATCTTAGGGGGGGGGAGCTTTTAAGGAGGGCGGATTGTGGAAGTCAGCCAGGTTTGATGTTGATTGTGAGATCTGGATGTTTCATTGAATTTTGTTGACATGGCATGCCCAAGACATTCTTTTTTTGAATTTCCCCTACCTCAATCAGTGTAACAATTGAAAGATTATACTCCATCAAGAAAATTATTTACAATGACAACGATCATGCAGTATCAGTTCCTATATTATTTTCTTACAATACATTATATGGTCAATTATTTGACCAGATCAAGCCTATTCATGGCAGATGACCACTCTAAACAAATGCAAGACATTGAAGTTTTCAGCTCATGGGGATAGGAATAACAATAGTCCCTGTGATAAGAGGATCTACTTTACAAAGAACAATTTACATACGGACCATTTTTATTCCGCGGCGAACTGTGGTAATGAACAACTTATAGTGAGATAAAACATGCCAGGAATGTCATCAATGACAGACGGCTCTTACTTACCAACTGAAGACAAATCACAACCATAAGCGTCGTATATAACGCTTTATTAATAAGTTTTCCTTTACAAGCCATCTTGAACATTATGACTTTTCCTTGAGATCAGATCTGTTCTTACTAACACATTTTTTTGTTTTTTCTTCGAACCATTTTCTTGTTATGAATAATCCCCGGTCGTAAGGCGGATATGAATGCGCGAGAAAAAATAGTTTCGTTTATTCAGCAAATTTAAACATTTTTACCCTTGCATGTCATTGATCAAAAGGATATAACTATTATAAAAATATTTGTTAACGTTCAGCACACAAAAAGCTTGATATTTTAAAGTTGTCTTCAATTTTATTGGGTGCGCATTAACGGGAATATTCTAGGCGTAACTATTTGGATGTCAGCAAGTGCGTAAACAAACAGAGCTGCGTGTGACATCCTGAAAGATTACAATATTTATTTTCACGAAATGTAAAAAAGAAAATCATTCTTTTCTTATCTCTTTTTTGTCATTTCTTTTTAAAAGATGTGTTTCAGCATAGACGTGTTTGAGATTATTTAGATCAAATTAATTCATTGGGTCCAAAGTCCAAAGGAACTACTTTTCATTGAATAGTGGCGGATCCAGTTGTTGAGGGGTTAAAATCATTTATTTTAAGAATATATACAAAATCTGATGATATTGAGACGACCAAATTCTGAAGTACCAACTTTTCTTCACACTACAAAATTACCATTGCTTGAAATTACTGCAACAAAAAGTGGGGGTGGGGGCGTAGATGGACATTTTCAGTAAAAAGACAAGTTGTGTTTATTACCCCCCCCCCCCCCCCCCAGTGCTGCGTTTCCATGGCCAGTTTGCAATGATATGAAGACAAAATGACTAATAATAAGCATGGTTATATGATTATACTGTTGTTGTGGAGAAATATTTTTGAAAGTAATTTTTGTGTATTCCTCTGTAAAAACAGTGGCAGATCCAGAAATTTAAGTGTGTGTGCTTGAAAGGGGGGGGGGGGGTTAGTAAGGGAGGGGGTGTCCCATTAGTGGGGATTTTGTTTCTATGGTTCTAAATAGTGCACTTTCCAGCATTTGAGGCCACTATATATATACATTTTTTAAGCTGACCGATCATAACAAATTCTTCAGAATTTGGAAAGATAAAAGGATTTGAAGTAATTTATAACTTAAACATAAAATTTTAGACTTTTGGAATTTATCACCCGGTAAAAAATCTCTGCCTTTAGAGAAATAGTAATTTTATGAATATAAGCATATTGACTTGTCTTCATTTAAAATGTCGTATGTCATATTAAAAATTTGAATTCCTTGTAGAAATTACCCCTTCTCTATATAAAATTAATCAATGATAATTTATTATACAAAGTTGTCTGTCACAACTAGAGGGGTTTGCTAAGCCAACCTGAAAAATCGTATGAATTTAACCCCCACCCCCTCCCCCAATATGGAATTCCATGGGTGCACGACGTTTCGGGACTAGCGACAAGACGGTTCGGGACTTGGATAAGATGTTTCGGGATTTCAACAAATTATTTTATTGTGGTTATTTAGCATGTTTTTCTAAGTACACATAGAACATAATATTTCAACCTGGAACCGTTGTCATAAAAATGTATTTTTTTTTACTGATTCATAATAGGTGTCTAATAATAAAACTTTTCTATATTCATTTTATTTTTATTTTTGAATTTGTTTAGGGATTTCTCACGCTGGTGAAATATATTTTAAGGTATTCAAGTAATCTCCAGCTACCGGCCAATGAATTCACAGTTTAAAATATGATTTTCATCAAGTATCTACAAATTATGCCCGAAACACCTTATTTGACCAAGCTAAAATTATATAAAGGATCATTAAAGGAATTTAATTATTTCTCAAAATTTATAAAATCTGTTAGCACCTTTCATTTATTAGATCTTGACCTTAATATTAAATATATTTATAAAAAAAAAATATTTCGATAATTGTTATGAGGAGGAGGAGGATGCCAATGAACATATTATTCACTCATTATTGACTAAAAAAGCATACCTTATTTCTAACATATTTCGCGTACTATCTGATATAATTTATTTTAGGCAACTGTAAGTCACCTTCTAGAGAAAATTGAAAAGATTACCAACAAAACAGTCGATAATTAAGAAACGATCATATGTAAAATAGACGAATTCATTTTATTTATTAATTCAGACAGTCTATAGTTATCGTTTCACAGACTTTACTTATGTAGTTAATGTTTAATAGAATAAATAAATAATTGTAACTACATTTCTCAAATAATTAATAAATTATATTTCATTTATAAGAAATTTGTTTCTCGTTAAATTAAAAAGGTTTTTTTTTATTTTAATTTGAAGAGAATTATATTTAAAGAGATATTTAAATACACGTTTAGATAAATCATTGTACAATTCTTTTAAGAAAACAAGAGTTGTCTCCATTTATTTTAGTACGTGTTCAGCATTTCGATTTGAACATTCATTTTTTTTTTATTTTTTAGTTATTGACCCCCCCCCCCCCACTCCCACACCCCCCAAAAAATTTTTGATTGGGAGCAGGTTTTGTATATATAACCCCTCTCCGCAGAAAATAGAAACTTGAACCCGTATTTTAAGATGTTCTGAAAATGCAAAACTTTTCGTTACACATCTACCCCTGCATCTATAACAGACGGGGTAAAATAAAAAAAAAATCTAATGTTTTTTTTTAGATTAAGGACAGATGATAGAAATAATTTTTTTTTTCTTTGGAGGAGACTCAAAATCATGTCACTGGTTTAGAAAAGTTGACAACTCTTAGATTTTTTTCTCCTTAGACTTGGAAAATATTGGGTTAATAGGTTTACAGAAGAGAACAAAATTTAAAATATGTTAAAATATGGTGCTAAATGTGTAATATAAACTTTAAAAAATATATACCATGGCAGGTAGATTTTATGAGGAAACGCAAAATGGTAAAAATCAGCCAATGTGATTTTTATGATTTTTTCACCATTTTGCAGAGTTCCTAGCTCTGCTTATTATCATATCAGTGTCATATATTGGTTATTTTCGCCCAGTGTTATATTTATGCTTTCATATGTGCAAATATTAACGATTTTGTCCCATTTTAAATTCGCCCAATATAATTTATTTAATAAAAAATTACACTGTCTTTTCAATCTGATTAAAATCAGATCCTTTGATCCGCTCACATAGATCGCTAGACAAGGTAGCGATCTATGTCAGCGGATCAAAGGATCTGATTTTAATCAGATTGACTGTCTTTTTTGAATTTGCGTACCTGTGAGCAGGACGAAAAGGGTGAAAATAAAACGGGGTAGAAGATTTCCATGAAAACAGTATGAGGAAGTCCAATTGTGACTAATCAATTTCCGACTATCCGATCGGAACGATGTTAATCAGTTTAATTTTTGTGTATATTAAAATGATTTTGATTTTGAAAGGAATTACAAACCCCTGATCCTCTACATGTTATGATTTTGAAGTACATAATTGAGTAAATTTAGAAACAAAGAAGGTTATTTCTTCTGTATTCTGTTTTTTAACTTTCCAACATTGATTTTATTCAGGAGCTACATGTATAGCATCAGCTTCAAATGAAAAACAGTATGAGGTATAAAGCGCTGCTTATTTAATCAGAAATTATATTTATTTCAGACCAGAACATGAAGAAAATTTAACACAGAGAATATTAATGAATTATTATCACGACATAAAATTAGAAATATGAAGTGTATAATAAAATAGTATTTAGAATCATTACCTATGAAATTAATATGATAAAACATAATAAAGCGTTGCTTCCTCGGTCAGAATATCACAATGTTGTGTATAGTTGTAAGAAATGAATACATTTTTAAGTAAGAGTTCTCTTTCTTATAATTATTTTTATACCTCCCGCTTGAAAAGTGGGAGGGTATACTGTAATCGGTATGTCCGTCCGTCCGTCTATCTGTTACGCTTTGGGGTATCCATCTCTTATCCGCAACTCCTCTTATACCACTGAGTGAAATTTAATGAAACTTTCACAGAAGCTGTATTACATATTGTCATTATGCATCTCTTATTTTACTTTTTCATCCAACACATATTTTGGGTTTCCCGGACACAGCAAAACATGGACTTTGCCATTATAAGCATATGGGAGGCGGGGGTATCATTTGGTGTGCTCATTGCTTACAGTACCTCTAGTTTTATTGGAAAATATGTATCGTAATACCAATGAAAATTCTATATTTGGCACATATTTGGTACATGGTACATTTAACCATTTAAAAAAAAAAGGTCTCTAAAAAGATAGAACTTATTCAGTTACTCATTCAGTTTATAAGACGTTTAATATTGAATTTGATTTTTTTTTATTAAAGGAAAATATTTAAAGCAATACCTTAAAAAATACCTGGCCTGTGAGATGTTGGCCCCCTTAAACTTCGATATAAAGGTTATTTTGATCAAACTTGCACAGATATAGAACTTTAAAAGAGAGCGCAACTGTAACAAGAGGTACTGTGAGCAATGGGCTCACTAAATGATACCCTCGCCTCCCAAATATGGTTATTAAAGTAGTTATAACTGATGACAAAGTCCATGTTTTGCTGTCGCCGGTGTAACGTTGAATATTGACCCGAGTTGAAAATTGAACCGGGGTTCATTTTTCAACGTTGAATATTGAACCAGGGGTGTTTTTTCTGTTGAAAATTAAAACTTTTCTAAATTCATTTTATTTTTATTTTTGAATTTGTTTATGGATTTTCAACAGCATGATAAATATATTTTTTGTTATTCCTGATAACCTCAACAAGTTGAAAATTGACCCTGTTGAATATTGACTCCACCTCAGAGTTTGAATATTATTTGAACTTGAAAATTATATTCATTAAAGGAATTTAATTAGAATCTCAAAATTTATATTTTGCACCTTTCAATTTTTTACCTAATCCAGAATATATATAAAAAAAAACATATTTCGATAATTGTATATATGTACATTTTGATCAGTGCACATATTCAGTTCATCTTAAGCATAAAAAAGTCAATTTTTTCATATATTTCTAAAATCCATAGATATAATTTATTTTACAAACTGTAAGTCACCTTCATAAAGAAAATTGAAAAGATTAAACAAAACAGTCATAAATCAGCCAAACTTGATCATATGTAAAATAGACTAATTCATTTTATTT